TATTATTTAATATATTTTTATACAATAAATTTATAATACTAAAATAAATAACATAACATTATTGGTGTATTAAAAATAGAGAAAAACATAGTTTAAAAGGAAATAAAAGGGAAAAAAAAAGGAGATTGTATATTTAAATAATAAATTTTATAAAATCATTGAATAAAATTTAATTATCTTTTTTGAAAATTATTATTTATTATTTTTAAATTAGATTAATGTTAGATAAGGAATTAAAAAATAATAATTAATTCAGATAGTAATATTATATATAATATATTATTATATAACAAGAGAATGTTGAGGTTATTCTCAAAGTCATGGAATTTTAGTTTTCATAAGGTTATTTTTTTACCATTTTTTAAAATCTTATTTTTTTTTGTCAAATTATTAGTCACGTCATCACTATAGTATCACTCATCTACTATAAATTTTTATATCATTATCAAAGTGACATGTCATTAAGTTATATTATCATTAATATCTTCATTATCAATTAACGATAGAGAGAATCAAAATGACATAATTAAAATTAAAGAGATCAAAATTGTGAATTAAAAATTATAAGAAAACTAAATGAACTATTTAGTCAAAGGAGTCAAATATTTGTATATAGTGTGAAGATAAACTTGATAAAAAAAAAAATAGAAAAATCACCCATCCACTTTAAAATGGTTATTGATTTCAAATATGACCTATACAAATAATTAATTTGAATTGTATTTGTAATTGTTTAGGATTATTCATAATTTTTTTTTCACCTTGTAACATATTCCCTCTACAATAATAGTGATTCAAATTTATCAACTAAATCACTTCATATAATAAATTGAATTTTGTCAAAGTTGCATAAAACATTGAAAAATTGTCGGTAAAAATACATTGTTAATAAAAAAAATAACATTAATTTAAGTATATCTTGTCATCCATTATGTGATCATTTCAATAAAGTTTTTGCCCTAAAAGTTTGGAAATCTCTAAGGATGAAGAATTCTGAATCGTAACTTCTATATCTTTAGATCATTTTAATTATGGATGTTCGTAATTAATTCGAAGTTAAAAGACTAAAGAATTGCAAGAACTAGATTTGAAACTTATACAGTAAATTATTGTGTTAATTATTTATAAAAATGTATGCTATAACGAATCACTATACTTTTTACAGCTAAATTACTATGTAAGAGAAAACATAAACATTAATTAGTATAGGATTATCATGCAAATAATTTTTTGATATTCCTGCAACAATTGCATGTATATATATATCAGTGTAGGAAAACACAACAAAATTTGTTCATAGATTGAAAATATAAAATCTCTTAAGAGATATAGTCATCTTAAATATGTATAAACAAGTGGTGAATATCTATAACATAAGAAATTGAAAACAAGTCGTAAGTATAAGTCAAGTACTCTAAATAGAATTTGTATGAGAATGACTTCATCACAAAATGTCATCATTTACATGCTCGCACACCACCTAATTTTTACTTGCTCCAATACCAAAGTATGATCATCATAGTTTAATATATGAAAAATAAGATAAACTTGTGTAACAAGAAAATATCATATATAATAGAAAGTAATAACTATCTATATCACCATAAAAAACTCATCATATATATACCTCATAGAAGACATATCAACTCAAAACAGATAACTCGCAACACAACTATTCAACTTCAACAATTTCCTATAAGATAAGCAACTTAACATCATAGTAAACAACACATCAACAAAAGAAAACAATACAACATCTTTATCTATCATCAGACATTTCAACTCAGAAGATTTCTAACAACAAAAGCGAGTAGTTTAAATAATTTGACTGTACCGAACTAGCAACACATAAAGACCTTTCTTAGTTAGGTCTTACACATAGGTTTGGCTTTAAAGTCTTTATTAACGCATAAATGATTTCTTGGATTTTGCTATTGAAACAAAGTAAGTCTAGTACTATTGTCAATAATAAAATATTTTGGGTATGAATATATCACGACATTAGTATGCATCAACTAAGTCTATATGAAATTATTTTGTCGACTATCTTTCAAATATTATGCACCCATCAAAGCCAACATTATTAACACACAAATAATCAAAATTACAAGCTTCTTTTACCTCCATTGTTTCAAAATCTAAGAAACTCAAGAGGAAAAGGGAGAACCGCGAACTCCAAGTAATGACTTCTCTTTTCAATTCTAAGCTTCTTAACTTGAATCTCAACTTCCACAACACAAACTAGGGATCAAGGGAAGGAAAAGAAACTCTTGGCGAAATCAGATTGAAGAACAAACCTCTCTAACTTTAATTCTCTCTCTAACTTCTATCTAAACTCTCAAGGATAATAAACTTACGATGTTCATATTTTTTTAAAAGGTTATATATTCTCCTATTCTTGGTCAACTTTGACATCAACTCTGAACAACTTAACTCAAATATTCCTTAACCCTTAAAACTATTAAAACAACATAAAATGCATGGTAACTCAAGACTATATAAAACATGACAAAACACAAACATGCATAAAGAAAACAACACATTGTTACATATTATAAACTTTTTAAAAATATATATAATATTTCTCTTTACATCAATAAATACAATTACCATAGTTATAAATGATAGGTACACATGACATTATTTAGTAATTTTTATATCGTTGAATTTGAAATTAAATTACACGTGACGTTAAATTTGAGATCAATTGATTAGTTTTCAAAATACTTTACTAGGTTTAATTTGGAAATAATTAATTATTTAATAATTAATGATAGTCTATAAGATTTAAATAATAACTTTAACTACTATAATTATAAATAATTGTATATAACATATAAGAAGTTACTATAATGATATAAAATATTGTGTGAAAATTGGATTATCTTGTTATTATAGTAAGTTAAAATCTATTTCTCGACGTATAAGTGGTAGCTACTTGTCTAATGTTTCAATTTTGACTTTGGATATTGAATAAACTATATTGGAAGAGAGAGTATTCACTTTGTGTACATTACAATATTAGTCTCTATTTTGATATAGATTCTTAATACCAATATCATAATTATAAAAAAAAATTAAAATTATTTAAAATTTAATGATTTTTATAATATTTTTTATTAATAAGAATTATAATGATGACAATAGAATTTGAATTTAAGAGTTAATATACACTATTCCAATCCCCACTACTTAGGGTTGTTCTTTCAATCAAAACTTTTAAATAATATAATTAAGTATTGTGATATTCAATAAAGATTATAAAAATACTAACTAGTATTCTAACAAGTACAATATACATAGTTAATATTTTATGAAGTTGTAATTTATTATAAAATTTAGGATAAAAATTTATTTTGGTCCCTTAAAATAATTGTTTGTTTCAATTTAGTCTCAATTTTATTTTTGGTCTCAATTTGGTCCCTAATAAATTAATTAGTTTTAATGTCGGACTTCCGTCCAAATTATTTAGACGGACTTAACTATTGGCCACGTGGATGCTACGTGGATGCCACGTGGAAGCTACGTAGATGTCACGTGAATGTCAAATTTTTGTCATGCATCTGGAACCAGAACGGCCCGTTCTGAAATCGGAACGACCCGTTCTGGTTTCACACTTGGTGTGTTAATTTTGCATCTGGAACGGGCCGTTCTGGATGCTAAATTAACACATCAGGAGTGAAACCAGAACGAACCGTTCTGGTTTCAAAACGGGCCGTTTTGGTTCCACATGGCCACACATACAGCTGATGATTATATCCAGAAATTTTAGATCGTAAGGACAATACTTATTCATATATTTGTAATATTAAAAATTTTATATATTTTTAAAAGTATAAATATATATTATAGTTATTTTTTACAAGTTTTTATATCTACAATTATGATTAAGGATGAAAATAAACTAGGTTAGATTATGTTATATTATAATTTAACAGATTTAAACCTAATTTTTGTTAAAAATACATGTTATAAATATTATATATTTATCAGTCATAAACATTTTTTAAAATGTTTGGTTACATAACAATCTTAAAAACTTACTTAATAATAATTTAACACTAATAAAAATATATAAATAAATATGTTAAATCTTATAAAAATTAAGTTTAATTTATTTATCATATAAAGATGTTTTTAATATGTGATATAAATTTTTACAATTTTAATTTTTTTTATCAACATAAACAATAAATAGAAAGTACAAAAGTTTGACAAATATCAAATAAATGAATAACTCCTCGAAATTTATATTTTATACATACGATAATTTAAATATATATATATATATTAGAATATAATTTTTATTTTTTAAAATTATTATTTTTTAGATAAAAAAAAATTGTGTATGTGTAAATGGTTTGCTTTTAATTTTTGACCCACACTAGTGCATTGTGTTGGTTGGCGTTCTGGAACGGCCTGTTTTGTAAGCTAGAACGGCCCGTTCTGCCATTCTGATGCACGCGTTGGTGTTAAATAATGCATCTTGAACGGGTCGATGCAAAATTTACACACCATGTGTGCAACCGGAACAACCCGTTTTGGTTCTAGATGCATGACAAATTTTGACATTCACGTGGCATTTACATAGCTTCCACGTGGTTAACAGTTAACTCCGTCTAAATAATTTGGACGGAAGTCCGACATTGCAACCAATTAATTTATTAGAGACCAAATTGAGACAAAAAATAAAAGTGAGACTAAATTGAAACAAACAATTATTATAAGGGACCAAAATAAATTTTTAACCTAAAATTTATTTTTTAATATTTAAATTATAAACTTAAATATATTTTAAGTGTCAATAGATATATTTATCTCGTTATAGTCATTGCAAAACATTTACCAGTTTTAGATCTTAACATTTTAGTATTTTTATTAATCTCTAGTATTATCTCTAGTTAGTTTAGTGTTGACATGACTAACAAAATAATAAAAAAAATATTAAAATAATTAACATAATAAAAAATATTTTAAATCTTTTTAATCAGGAAAATATATTTAAATGAGGATAATTCAACTATTTTTAAATGCATACTTTAATTAAGTAATAAATTTATTATTTATATAAATAAAATAATTATATACAACTTATTTTTAATATATGATATATATATAAAAAAATTATGAACAATGATCTTATTACTTTTAATATTATTTTTACCTTTTAATTTATTAATTTACTTTTAACATTGTGTGAATATTTTGGAAGTCATACACAAATGTCTTATAAAATTAACAATATTTTACTAGACTTCTTTTGTGATGGTTTTTCATCTTCCAACAAAAATCAGATTTCTATTCATTTTACACGAAGAATTTAAAAGACATACAACAAAAACATATTTCTGACAAGAATATTTTGTTAAAAAAATCAAAAATCAAATTAGGATGTAAAAATAGAGAAAAGAGGTGAGAATATCATAGAACAGAACTGAACGGCCATAACAAAATATATCCAATCGTAGAGTGATCCACATTTAGGGTGGAGGCAGACATTTCGGAGCTCAAATCAATTTTTTCACCAGTTGATTCTTACATATATTTCTATCAATATATCATACATTTGTTGGGATTTACAAAATAGAAAGACACTGTCATAGTGTCATTTAATTCTTTAAGCATACAACTCTAGTCCCTTTCTGAAGTTTTCAAGAGCAAATGTTCATCTGTTCCCATTTCCAGAAAATGCACCTGAAGAGTTAGTCATTCAAGATTACATATATGCATAGTTGCATATAAGATGACGCCACTCAATGATAATGAGAAGAGAACCATGTTGAATTGATGGGAATGAGATTCTTACAATTACAATGATACATGTACAATAACTTGTCCTTATATACATTGTTTTTTATGTCTATATTTCTCCGAAACTTCATTTATTAGAGAGAGATATTTATTAAAGATGAGAAGAGATAGACACTAAAAATAATGTTGTCCAAGTTATTGTATGGTAATACCATTTTTATTGCCATGCCCATGACAATCGAGTGAAATAAATTTTCATGGATCACTACAAGCGTACAATGAAGAAAAAATAGGTGTCTGATATCATGTCACACAATCGAGCATGAAGAGTTTTAATTTTGAAGCAGGAAGCAGGCAAAATTTATAGCGTGCAGTCATAAATCCTTCGTCCATCGAATTCCACAGAATGATGTTGTGTTGTCATCTAGCTTAGCCACACATCACCTATATAAATTAATATCTTAGCAATATTTATCAAAATGAAGCATATTGCACATGGAGACGATGCTAATAGATCTCTATGAAGAGGTCCAGGATGTTATGACTTGAAAATGATAAATGGTCTAAGTTTTAAATTTGTCGCATAGCACCTTCAACACTAGTCACACTACACACCAAGCAGAAATATAAAACAGGTTATTCTAAAAAAGTTTAAAGACATTTCCCTAAACCACTTCGAAAATCTGATTGATAAAAGGAAGAACTCAAGTTAATAATAATCATGGGAAAGATATCAAGTCTAAACATGTTCAAGTTAACCTTTATAATTCTAAGAGCTGCACAGCCTGCAGTCCTGCTGCACCCATCCACACCAGAAGAAGATGAATGCCAAAAGACCCTTTCAAGTATGTATAGCAGGTAACTTCCAGTAATTCCATGAATTAAAATCCTCCTGCAACCAATATTCAGCAAAAACAAGGCCAAAAAATAAGGTACATTGCAAAAGAATCCTGTTGGAATTCAAGAAGAATTAGAAGGTTCTTCGCGCCGAGCGCGAGACCTTGGGAGGTCTCTGCCTTCTACGCGCTGGGCGCGGGTTTGGGCACGCCGGGCGCGTGAGACTCCTTAGAGTCTCTGCCTGGGATGCGTTGGGCGCAATTGGTATTGCGCCAGGCACGTGTGAGCCTTGGGCTCTCTGG